AGAGATTGAATAATTACTTTTCGCATATCCTTGAATCTTGCCGTGTTAGCCAATAAGTATGGTGTATCTACCTTCCAACTTTGTAGAGTATTGTACATTTGCTATTGCTGTATATGCATCACGTTGGCTTTCCTATACAAGAAATAAATAAATATACCATGATATTTATTTATGTTTTGTGAAATTGCTCCACTAGTTTGTTATAATTTATTAATACAAATATCGAACACAAAGAAAAATTCCTACGATTTGACAGGACATGAACTTACGTCTGTGCCTTACAGAGTGACCGCTCTACCAAATGAGTTACACAGATCGAGTCAACAGACCTCACGCATTTTTCTATGCTTTGTTTTTAGTTTTAACGACTTTTTTTTGCCATAGCACCCCACCTGTGAGAAATGTAATTGATGATTTAGCTAATCATATTTAAAAGGACAAAAGTAATTTGAACTACATTAAGTAATTTAAATAAAATTAATTAAATGAAAACGTGACCTCTAATAAATGCGGGGCCATTCAAGCTTTATTTTGTTTGAAAATGGGGCGTAGTAACAATTGGTGTCTATTGTTTGATGATAAAGAATGAATAAACAAAAAGAATAAATAAAATGTAAGCAAGTTTATATTTTTTTTTTTGTTAGGGTTTAAAACTAGAGAATGTAAATGTAATGCAAGGGCAGAGTTACCATTGCAGATTGTTGTGTATATTTTTATATTTATATTTTCATATTACATTTAAGTAATTATATTTGTAACATTGCTATGAAATATCTCCAGCGTACGTTATATATCCATAAACATGTATCATTCATTGTATAACGTTACATAAACACACCTTACACATACACACCCCACACAAACACATCCTACATAAGCACACCCTCCACACTCGTGGTGCATATTCAATTGTTTGGACAATATTTTTTTTAACTGTTATCATTGTAACGGTAACCTATCAGAAGACCGAAATGACATTTTCCAGAAATAACGTTTGCACGAATTTTCATAACCGCGAAAGTAATTTTGAGAGGAAAATGTTGTTTCTTTTAAATCTAACTTAACCTAACCGAATCTAATCGTGTCTTTGCGATAAACATCCAACATATCCTGAAAGAACAACGGTTTCGTTATAATTTCGTTTTTCGGGGTAATGAGAATTCGAACAAACGTTATTGCGAAAAAAATAAATTCGAGTTCGTGATAGGTTACCCATTGTAACATGTGGTTAACTATAATAAGTTTCACTCTATTTGTATTTTCTGTATTGTAATTTTTATATATAATTAGTGTACAACTGTACAATAACTATTAACCCGAAGACAAAAATATATAGACTAGTGGTTAAAAATGCTTAACAAATAACGTTTACTAGTTTACCAGAGGTCATGCTATTTTAATAGTAGTTACGACCAACTAAGTATAGATGTTGTCATCACTTAGGTGTCAATCGATGTTGTTGTACAAAACAAATAGGAAGAAACAAAGTCTGCATAACATTCATTCATTCATGTACCTTACGATCAATTCCATAAACTGCGTGACGTACTAAACCGAACGAAGCTATTCGCCGATCCGCTTTGATAGACAAAGAGCATTACACAATTGTGCAAAAAAATCTAATGAGAAAGCTTACTTTTTAAAAGGCACTTTCAAGAGAAAGAAAAGTTATGTACCACTAAAAATATATTTTTACTGTGACTTTTTTAATAAAGGTATTTTTTATAAATCCGAATGGAATCTATCGAACTTCTGTCCCAATTTAACGTTTTTGGGTTTTACTTTTATAACAAATTGCATTATAACAAATAAGTAATAGAACAAACGAAATGTAATATGAATTCAAAACCTGACATCCGACCCAAACAAAATTACAGAATCCTCAAACGATTATTATAATGCTTTAATGCACTGTTAGGCGTCAACAAAATGAAATAATTGATTAAATTAGTGATCAATTGAATGATGAAGCAATTGAAATGTATGTAAATCACAGGTGTATTCAACAGTTGTGCAAACAAAAATTACAATTAACTTCCCTAGTGGCGCATTGCGGTGAACAGAGTTAGTCACCTGTATCACCTCACACCGCATAGTACACCAACAGGTAAAAAACATGCAGATATTATAGTGACCAAAGTTTTTTACCCTCAATGACCTTTCGCTTATTTTTCTCCATCATTAATTGTTAAGAAAAATCAATTTCCATCATTAGATTTCTGATCTGAAATTTCCCAGCCATATATTGCTTGTTTCATACTTAACCTTTGGTTGACGAACAACATCTGTTCAAGGCAAAACGCACTTAAGCTCTCTTCGTGGATCATTTATTGATCCAGTGTTCTTGTATGCACATTAAATTACTTATGGAGTACTTATGCATGTTTCATGTGGTGACGTAATTTGTTCTAGAATGATGCAAGAAAAGAACCAATACGTTAATTATAGCGCACGCAGATAGTAGAGGTCCTTTTCAGTTTATGCTTACTTTGTTTACCCAATGTATCCAGATATCAACAATAAATATTAAAAACAAACGGAAGAACAATTAGTGATGTCTAGCGACTTACACCATGCGGTAAGCAGTAATGCGAGGGCCAGCTAGATTGTGCCATCGGGCCAAGGTCAGTATGAGTACTATCATTTGCATAATTCTCACGTCCGCTGCTTCTACACGTTAAGTACGATCGACAGCAAAAGTTTAAATCTTTGATGTTACGTTTAGTTCAAGTAGTTTCCTAGATAGTTGAGCTCGATAAGTATACTATTTCATAAGATGTTTCTAGCCACTTCCATACGAATCAAATTATATTCTAAAGTACGTCCATGCTTCACGTCTTCGCTAGCACTTGTGATTGTATGATTTTGTAATTAAGTGCCATAGAAATAAACATCCCAGACTATTGTCATGACTGCACCTGTTAAATGATTATTTCGACACGACTAACCCCGCCCATTTAATTCTTTCAATGCTCCATTATGTCGGCAGCCAACATTCAGATAGCTCAGATTCTTATTGACTCGTCTATGAGTGCGTCTGCATATGGAGTCAATTGCTTTGTTTCGACTCTATAGTTCTCTAGTAGCGCGTAATTTAACCCTGAATGAATCTTACGTTTTCTCCATGACCAGTTTATAATATATATGTTGAATATTGACGATGATGTGAACTGAAACAAATTTATCGACGCTAAAACGAACATTTTCAAATTTGTAATAAAAAAAATCAAATTCAAGTCAATATAATTTGAAAAATTTATATTTATTGAAGATTACACGACCCATATTTCTTTTCGTAGCTTCATTAGCCAACACAAACACCTCACAACATAAACACCAATCGATCCGAAGATGTAAAGTTTACATTTGATGAAGATTACATTTGATTGGCAGCGAATCTTTTGGTATGTAGTAACAAAATGACGTGTAAAATATTCTGCGTAAGTCTTTCCCGGTTGGAAGCAGGCCCGACACGTCTAATTTGATACCAAGAAACAAAGATACTATGCTAAGAAGGTAGAAGCTTTGTATACGCTCAATAATTGAGTGCTTTGAAAGGCTCTCTCGTCAGTTCGGTTGATACCTCAAATGTAAAATGAACAAACATTAGTATTGTTTTGTATTTGTCTTGAAAATGAGTAACAACACTATGATTTCTCAAGCCACGCCATTTATAGGTACGCCATTTGTGAAAATCTTCCAGATGAATGTTGAAACTGTGGCACAATTGACCACAAAGCAAATCGAATGGAATATTTTTTATTGATTCTTATGAATACAAATCATAGAGGACCAAGTATACGTACAGCAGTAGGTACGCACATAACGTCACGAAACATTATTCGATTGATCTTCCCGCTCAATTGTTTTTTTTTTTTGTGAGAATCGACCACGCTTATCGTTCAATTCAATTGACCCAAAAAAAATGTTCAACATCCTTGAATATATAGTATTAATGGAAATTTCTGGTATTCAGATATTGAATCATTTATGATGGTGTGCATTAAGAAAAATACTCCACTAAAAGTCGTTTTAAAGTAGGTATATCGTTCATCTTCCACTTCAAATAGACACTAGAAAGAAAGAAAGAAAAGAAAAAAATATATTTATTGCACCAGCACAGACGCGCATATCAACAAAACAACAGAGGCATAACTACCGTGACCATAGGACCATGGAACCGTGGTTGGTCAACCGTGACCATGGGACCTGTAAAGGGCCCGAAACGTCTGTTTGTTTGAAAAAACAAATATACGCGATTTAAATCCGGAAAAATAGTTTCATTTCCTATGTGTAACAATCGTGAAAATCTAAGAACTCGATAAAACTTTTTATGCTTAAAATATGCTTATCCGCCCTAGCGCACAAAATCGTGATTTTTTAATTTAATTTGTAGCCCAATTTGTAACGATAATTATGATGCTTTAATTACATGTACGTATAGAAAAAAAGGGAAAATATCAACATGGTAATATAATAATAATGTAAACGCCCTTTTCCCAGCGAAATAATGTAAATATCTATAATAATATGAATAATAACAAAAATCGTAATAGTGAATAAAAAATTATGCAATAATGATATAAATTTAAAAAAATACGAGATTTTAACCGTGTTAACATTTTAATTGGGTAAAATAAATACGGCATAAATGTATTCGAGACCTTTTTCATTTTGGTTCATTTATAAACAAAACCTTACGCATGTATTATTATGGAATTAACTCTGCCCGACAGGCGCTTTGAGTAAAGTGCAATTAAAAAAGTTGCAAAAGTTAATCTCTCCGTACTGAAATGTAGAGGCTTATATTCTTTAAAGCAGAAATAGTTTAGTGAAACAATTTACCAGTTCTGTTTTCTTACGAGTTATCAATGGTTATTAAAGTTATATCACTAGTGCGGTACATTCCGACCGGCATCTGGCAAATACTTGTTATGTAACACCGCGGTATTGATCCGTTTATAAGGGTGTACATTATATAGAAGAACTTAGATACTTACCTCCTAGTAGTCCATATGTGAGCATCATAACAGTTACACTCTTGCTAAACGTGGATATGACAAAGGCTACGGCCGCCACCAGGGACCCTGCCACGCATACTGCCCGGCACCCGTACTTGTTGCATAACGCTGATACTACAGGACCTGGAACCAAAAAGGATTTCATTATACAAATGAACTTTTTTCATATAAGAGATACTGTGAACATAATGGGACTTCATGGAGACGATATTTATACATTGTGTATTTGTTAACTGACAATGTGTGTGATACTGTTTTATATATTTTTTTATAATTTCACGTGATGGGACAGACAAGTCGTGCGCCTGATAGTAAGCTGCCTGTCTACAGCAGTTGCAGTGCCACTTAGAGCCTTAAATCGCAAAGATCTGAGGGGCACTGCCACTGCGCCCGTCACCCTAAGACATAAGTTGATAAGTGCCATGTGCCTGTAATTTTACCAGCACCCTTACCCTTCAAAACCGAACATAGTAATGCTGGCATTATTACTTGGCGACAGAAATAGGTAAGATGACAGTTCTGCCGTGGACGAACTATTTCACAAGGAGCTCTACTGCGACTAAAAAAAACAGTTACAAATTATGTACTTACTTATTCAAAATGGTAAATAAAATCTGTTAATTTTTATATTTTTCTATTACTTTAAACATAATATTGAAAAATATAAAGGGCTATACCGGAATCATGGTATTTGCCGCGTCCTCGACACCTACTCGTAAAAGAATGGGTCTAATTGGATCTGTTGAGAACACGTGTAGATTGACTTAGCTTTTGCATGATTAATTTGTTTATGTGTTGTGATATATAAAGTTTGTTTCCATATACAAACACGAGAATGGCTCTATTTAAGATCAATTTAATTACGAAACATAGAACCAGGTCTACACGTACAACTTAAACTTGTAAAATTTTTGGACATCGTCGCTGTAGTGTGATCACCTCGTACGTGTTTGGTTCGTCTTAGTTGGAAGAAAAATTTTGTTACCATGTCTTGTTTAGATTAGGTTTTTAAATAGTAAAATTACACGTGTTTCAAATGCTATTACTATGTTTACAATTCTTCCTTGCAATTAAATGTATGAATGAAGTGCGACCCAAAGTACTCATTTATGACGCATTTCGACAAATGTACACATACACGAATAATCGGTATTACGGCATAAAAAAAATCGAATTCAACTATTTATTAAATTTATAATGCAAACAGAAGATACCGGTAGTGAACTACGAGGCCCCAAACACGATTGACTAAACCTCGCTCGATAAAGGAAAAAAATATCCACAAATTTTTTTTACTACGCGTTCATGTACATAAAAATCAGTTTCATTTGATTGTTGTTAGACATATTTCCATGAAAGTTTATCTCCTGCGTCCGGGGGCTGTGAGCTTATTTTACAGTAAGAGTATTATTTCTAAAATGCACACGTTTAACTATCGAACAATGAACTTTTCCGCATCTACCTCACACGCTTCAAATGCAACCACAATGATATTCTTTCAACGAAGACGATATTACGGAGTTGCCATAATACTAAACTTTAACCGGATATAGTAATATATTTTTATTATTAAAATAAAAAGAATACTTAAAAAATACTTTCCAATCTGTTTAGAAGTGAAGACAGTCACTTGACACACCGTTTTGTTACACACATAAACTACACTATACAGAAATCATTAAGCCACGGTCAATAAAAGAATCTAAATATCTTCTGAAACTAGAAACTTTCACGATATTATCCATCAATGTGAATGAATATGTATTTATGCCACAACATACCACCTGTACGCAGAATTAGATCCTAATCAATATTGTGTGTATCAATGTACTCGTAAATTTGGAACACGTCATTTTCATAATGGCTACAATTTCAAGTAGCCTCTTAAGAATACAAGTCAAGTGTCCTCACGAACACAGTGCCAACATTAACAAATGTATTGTGTATTTACTACCACCGCTTTATCGGATAATCACAATGAACTATTGAACAAAGCCTTATCTTAAAACGATTGACGATCGATGTACAGCAATCTAACAAGCATTAGTTAATGCACCTATAAATCTCCTGATATTAACGATAGCACAAAATTACCCAATAGATACGTCTCTATTTTCTCCGTTTATCCATAAAGATAACTTGGCAGTATACAGCGGCTTATATATTACGGATGAATATTGAGTAATTGAAAATGACATTGATATCCATGTTACAAGCGAACGCAAGCTCTTATAAAGGTGAATCTTATTCGCTTTATTAAACTTTTTTGCATTTTATAGTCTCAAAGCTGCTAATTGACTGTATATGTATATATCTTTATGTATATGTCTTTATATTTAAATTGAAAATGAAACAACGTAGAGACAACTTCACTTGTGACAAAATTTTAACAAAAATCCAATACGTTCTTTAATATTGAAATCTACAATAAAGTTTGAAAACGTCTTTAATTTTCCTGTGGAAGTTATTTATAACAATAATAGTTACCCTATATATATAGGCCCAATATGTATAGTCCCACTGCGCGGCACAGGCCTCCTGTGCCTGAGAGGGCTTGAGTTTCGAAACCCAAGCCCTCTGCTTGAGAGATGATAGATCAAATCATTAGGCTACCATGGCTTTTTTACCCGACTGCGGGAGGGATAAGTTTCTCAAGCATAGTGTATGTACGCTGTACAGCCTAAACGGCTTGATGGATTTTGAAATGTGAGGAGTCGTTAGATTCGTCTTGATGCGGGAGTGTCATAGGCTATATAAAAAATAATCAAAATAGTGAGGGGGGAATATTTTTTATTTTTCCAGCTAAATATTTTTGCAATCGGGTTTTGTTTAATTATCAATATACATAAAAATTCAATTCTTATGTTTGTTCCGTTTGTTTCTATAGAAAATTTTGAATCGATGCGGTACATTCTGAGATTACCTTAATAAATTCTAAACTAACTTCGCATGGATTCTTTAAAATTTTATAAAAATAAATTTGTTCATTGTTAACAGTATCTTAAGCGACATTATTTAAATAATTATAGTATATGACTAATCCTACAACTAGCATTACCTTGCCCCAAAACCTACATAACGTACCTAACCTAATCACCCTTCCACTACGTCAGTTCATAAACATTTATTACTCGCATTTAGCTCAAGGAATGCATTTCATTGAATACTTTTTAGCTCTATTCGTTGCGTCACCTCATTCGATGAAATATTAAATTTATAATACGTTATTCCAACAAATATTTCAAGTACTTTCTTGTGATAAAAAATAGTAAAAAGGAAAGCTGTTTACTCTAATGATATTTCCCACGCAGACAAGACTATAGCACTAATCAATATGTTTTAATTTAGTCTAATTTCCATTATTAATTAATAATAAATTTAATTAATAAAAATTCATATTTAAGTGTTTTATTGAATATCAGGATGTATCACCACCATGATATTCGTTTATGTTTTGTGAAATTACTCCACTAGTTTGTTATAATTATTAATACAAAGATCGAACACTTAGAAAAAAATCCTTAGATCCGGCCGTATTCGAACCGACGTCTTCTAGCAAACTGTGCCAGACGCTATGCCAACTAAGCAAGTTGATTATAAGTGTTCGATCTTTGTATTAATAATTTAAAAAAAATCATACTGTAAAACGTATGGAGCGTAAATTGCTATAGTTCTTTGGAAAATTAAAATGAAGATATTTAGTTAATAACTTTTGAAACTGTAGTGAAATATAGGGAGGTTTGCATTAATATTAGACATAAACTAGTTGATGACTTTACCATCTCAGTCAACCGTGACCATGGGTCCTGTAAAGGGCCCGAAACAGTGGATTTGTTTGAATATACGCGATTTATATCCGAATAATCTCAGTACAGAGTACTAAAGAAACCGACCTCAAAAGTACGTGGAATTACATCTATTTGCCCGGTTTTATTGAAATATCCCCTAGTTCGCCACTATACAGGACTTGACAGTAGTTTTTGGTCCGCATTACTTAGTTTTTACGGTGGATGGTTTCAGTTTAGTTTTAGTAGCAGTAGAGTTCCTTGTGAAAGAGTTCGTCCAGGGAAGTACTGCCACCTTACCTATTTCTACAGCCAAGCAGTAATGTCAGCATCTGTATGTGTGTTCTGTGTTCCGGTTTTGAAGGGTAAGGGTGTTGGTGAAATTACAGGCATATGGGACTTGTCAACTTATGTCTCAGGGCGCAGTGGCAGTGCCCCTCAGATCCTTGCGATTTAAAGCTCTAAGTGGCACTGCAAATGTTATGGACAGGCGTGTAGCTTACACCCCCCCCGTCAAAAAAAAAAAAAAAAAAAAAAGGCGTGTAGCTTACCATCAGGCGTACGACTCTTTCGTCCCGTCACTTGATATTATTATATAAAAAAAAACAAAAAGTTAACCTCAAATCACCAACCTAGCAAACGTGGCAATTATTTGTGGTCTGTGATTAGCTTTAGACTTATAGAAGTAATGGAATTTGAAGCTAATTGACATACATTGACCTAGATAAAATTATGTACTCTTACAATATCGTTTAACGTCCAGTTTGCAGTGAACTTATCAGTGGAACTGTCATAACTGTTCTGTTCAGCATAGCTGAATGTTATCTTGAAATATGACGTGAGGTTCAAAGTGTTAAATATTCGGGTTATAGTGGCGAGACCAATTACGATAATGATGTATCCTTCCATTCTTTAGGATACCAAAATGCTTATATTTCTGTTGCATTATACCTATAGTATAGCAAATAAAAAAAAAGCCGTGACAGCCTAATGGTTTGACCTACCGCCTTTCAAGCAGAGGCCGTGGGTTCGAATCCGGGCTCATATCTCGGAGTTTCTCGGAATTTATGTGCGTGAAATTTATCATGAGCTTTTCTGGGAAGGAAAACATCATGATGAAACCTGCACGTCAAAAACTTTTGGAAAATGTGTGAAATCTCCAACCCGCATTGGGCCCGCGTCGCGGACTTGGTCTAAACCATAGTTTCCCATAGTGGTCCCTACCGCACCCCCAGTGGACGCTGAAGAATCCTAGGGCGGCGGTAGGGACCTCGGAAGCAATTGGGCGGCGTAGATGCTGTCCAGGAGCTGCTACCGCATTTGAAAAAATAATCCTGA